TTTCCCCCCCCCCCCCCCAATAGACTTTTATTGGCCGTCCTGAAGACGCATTCTGGGCCGGCTCCATACAAGTCTATGAGGGCTCAGCTTTTAGTGATCTTACCAGCCTTTGAAGAGCGTTGTAAATGTTCAGCACAAGAAGGAAAAACCTCGCAGGTGAGAGATGTTGTTGTAGGAGGTCGGGGGAGGCGGATAGATGGACGGGAGTGAGGTCGGGGGAGGCGGATAGATGGACGGGAGTGAGGTCGGGGAGGCGGATAGATGGACGGGGAGTGAACGGATAGCTGCCATTACGGAGGGTTTTAGAAGTGAGTAGCTCGGGGCTACGAAGCGCACGTCTTGTAATTATGCGCACAATAACCGCTCTGCCATTGTTGCACTTTGACGATACTTCCTGGCAGATGTAAGCACTTGACTCGTGGAATCGCGGCTGCCGCTCCTCTCCTTGGCGGCAGGCAGCTGCATTTGTACGGAGATAATGGGGGAGGCGAGCAGAATGAGAAGTGTAGAGCGCGCGCGGGGGCAAGCGCTTGGCGGAGCGGCCCGCAGACACTTGGCTGTGCCGTTCCGCTCATCTTGCTCCCTGCGGCTGATCTGCTCCGACGTTCTGCTGCATTTTACCAGATCAGCAAGCATGCAGATTTTGCCGCCTCGCTCCTTTTTGGCCCATCTAACCATTACAAACCATCCAGCCTTGTAAAGAGACCCCAGAGAGACGCAGCGCTCCGGCTCCCGCTGCCTCGGTTTTATATATTTAATTCCTCGCTCTATAAATCTGCATATGTGTGCACAATAAATCATAGCAGAGCCAACCCGTGCCGCACTGCATGTGATCTTCAGGTACCCGAAACCATATACAACCCAACCGACGTCACATGTCACATGATTGATCATCAAGACGGATTTGTTTTATTAAGCTCAAAAGAGAAGTCCCTCCGTGGATGATGAATAGTATAATTATTGCCTAATAAAACTGACCCTCGATTCTAGGATCTGCACCAGAGGAGCTTACACTCTAATGTCCCCTCCCCCCCCACAGTCACATCAGTCTCTGTACAGAGGAGCTTACACTCTAATGTCCCCTCCCCCTTTGGGGGGGGGGAGTTTTGTAAACCAAAATCACAATATGGTGCTTCCTATATAGGTCACACAACTTCCAGCTGACCCCATAGGGCACCCCCACCCTGTATGATGCTTGCTGACCCTTCCCTGACCAGAGTAAAGGATTTTGACCGCAAAAAAAAGTCTAAAACCAAAGCACGGTTTGTGGTAGGAGAGCTCCAAGAAAGTTTAATCCATCACGGTGATCGATCAAAAACAGCCAACACGTTGCGAGGGTTCCGGGTCGCCCCCTTCATCAGGAACTGACGATGTTGGACTGGAAAAGACGTTTGTTTCCGCCCAGATCTTCTTCTTTTCAGGGACTGATGTACAATGTGTAAATTGTCTGAGCTTTACCTGACTACCTCCTCATAGTGACATGTCTCCTTCTCCCTCTAGCAGTCGGATGGTTCCTCCCGGGCAAGCAGTCTCAGCAGAGAGCGTATGATGGCGGAGTCTCAGCTGCCAGAGAAGACCGGCGCCCCCTCCGTACCCTCGCACCTAATGGGGAACGCGTACGCCTTCGCCATCCCGCCAGGCTCCGTCGTACAAGATTCCCGCTTCCAGCCCTTAAAGTGAGTTTGTGGGGCTCTCATGGTTGGCCTTGGTGGGGCTCTCATGGTTGGCCTTGGTGGGGCTCTCATGGTTGGCCTTGGTGGGGCTCTCATGGTTGGCCTTGGTGGGGCTCTCATGGTTGGCCATGCCGGGCTCTCTGAGGAGAACTCGGGTCTGATGGAAATTCTGGGGAACCGCTGAAATAATTCAATAGTAAATTACCCCTTTTATACCTTAATTCCTTGCGATGAGACCCGACTGTTGCTTTCATTGATTAGAGGGCCATACCATAGCACAGCAGCACCAATTATGGCGTGGATCTGTACCCCCATAAAGGGACGCTGTAGTCAACAACAACAAAAAAAATCTGAATAGCAGTTCCCTGCTAAAGAAGTTCACCTCCGTGCCCTGTGTCTCCTATCTTCCCTCTTCTGCATCTCCAGTATTTAACACTTCCTCAGATAACCGTGTCCCCCGCCCCATGCTGTGGTTTCTTCCTTCAGCCCCTACATTATTATATATTATCATCATACAGGCTTTATATAGCGCCAACAGTGTGCGCAGCGCTTTACAATATAAGGAAGACATTACAATCACAATTCAAATCAAGACAAGATGGTAAGGAGGGTCCCGCCCCTGAGGGCTTACAATCTAAAAGGGAGGGGCCAGTGATACATGAGGAGGTAGCTGTGTGGGAATGAATTGTTTGAGAACGTGATGGTTCAGGTGGGATCGGCTTCCCTGAAGAGATGAGTCTTTGGGGAATGCCTAAACTCAGTCAAGGTGGGCAACAGATGAACAGGTTGGGGTAAGGAGTTCTAGAGGATGGGAGAGACTCTAGAGAAGTCCTGGAGGCGAGCATGGGAGGAGTTGACGAGGGAGCTGGAAAGCAGGAGGTCTTGGGAGGAGCGGTGGGGACGGTTAGGGTGATACTTTGAGCCAAGGTTGGAGATATAGCCGGGGGCGGAGTTGTGGATGGCTTTGTAAGCGTTTAATATTTTGAATTTTATCCTTTGGGCTATCGGAAACAAGTGGAGGGATTGGCAGAGGGGGGCGGGGATGGAAGCCAGTGCAGGGATCGGCAGAGGGGGGTGGAACCCAGTGCAGGGATTGGCAGAAGGGGGTGGAAGCCAGTGTAGGGATTGGCAGAGGGGGGGTTGCAGACACTGAGTGGTTGGTTAGGTGAATGAGTCTGGCAGCTGCATTCATGATAGACTGAATGGGGGGCGGAGCCTGTGTAGTGGAAGGCCAATGAGGAGGAAGCTGCAATAGTCAAGACGAGAGATAACAAGGGAGTGGATGAGTAATTTTGCGGTTTCTTTGGTGAGGAAGGGAACCGAGCGGAGCAGTAACGTCGGGGGTCAGTGGAAGGAACCACAGCAAAGTGGGGGGGGACGGGCGACATGCAACTAACACTCCTGTTAGAAGAAGGCTGCAGTGCTTCCATGGAAGGGAGGAAGGAGACCCGGGCCACTGAAGAGGCAAGTGGAAGACCTCATCTTTTGCAGGAAGCTGCTTTTGGGGTGACTACGGTGTCCCTTAAGGGTTAAAGATATGGATGTGATTGCAAGGATCGCGGCATTAATTTTTCTTGTCTTTCAGTCTGCAGAGGCCGGTCCCCCATGTGGTCCCGACCAGCACAGAGGAATACCTGCGCAGCTTCCGTCCGTACCACACAGCCGAGGACCTCCGCATGCCATCGATCCCCCACCTCAGCCTGGACCCGTCCGCGGCGGCAGCATATTACCACAACAGCTACCTGGCGGCCCACCACCCCTTCCAGCACCCCGCCTTCAGGTATTGGAAGGTTGCATCTGC